TGACTAAAAACTTATTTTCAGGCATAATGATGCCATTTATTGGTTTACAGGGCTTGAGAAGGAAGTCAGCTACTTCTGACAAATTTTTCTTAACCACTGCATTTAACTTTCAACCTTGCTGTAGTACTAGCTAATTATTTTATCAAGCACATTTTTGCTGTTTTTTGGACTTTTGATGTAAAACCTTTGAGTTTTCAGCTGAAAACCTTCAGCCTCACCCCTTATTAAGTATGCAGAAAGTATGTTTAGCTGATTATCTCTGTAGCTGTTTATTCAAATTTAGTACTTTTATTTTTTTTAAAGTAATTTTGCATAACTACCTGCTGATACCAGACAACAATCAGAATTGCACTGCTAACTCACTTTAAAAATTATTTATCATTATCCACTACTATATTGAGCCAATAGGTTCATTTCTCATCCCTGGATCAAGTGAACAACCTTTGCCAAGACAGCTTTGGCCTTTCTACCATTGTGGCATCAGTTCATGGACTGCTATTGCATTATAGTATTAACGAACAATAAAGGTAACAAAAAAAAATTATTAAAAAACACAACAATGCATGTTCATGTACAGTGTCCTAATTTTGAACGACAACAAACCTATAAACACGGAAAGAAATGTAAATGGGAAAATGTATAAATGCCCTCACTTGAATGCAAGACTCACTGATGACCTCAGTATCTTCTAAGCTTGATGCATCAAGAAAATGGTGACACTAAAGAGATAGAGAAACAAAAAAGGAAAGAGAGGAAGGTGTACAGCACTGAATTGTTATTACAAAAGTAATAGTAATGGCAATGGTAGCTGTATTGCCATCTGTGCTCAGAAGGCAATGTCATTGTTAATGGGTTTATCTGAGACATAATGAAGAATACTCGTATAGTCAGTGACATAGGCCTGTGACAATTAACATTACAGTTACTCTGTAATCCATTAACTCAAATACATGTACATGTAGATACATCACTTACCACTTACCAATGCATTAGTGCATATTAATCTCAACACATCCTTTTCCCTAAGTAATAAGTTAATGTCCATGGAGCAAACTGTTTATTGATAATGAATAGTTAACCGCACTATAAGAGAGACAAAAAGAGATGGTAAATTCTATGTGATGTTGATGTTTAAACATTGTACTTACTCAAATTGGACATGCTTTGAATTTTCTTAGCATTTTGTCTTAATTCTACAATAAATGATAATCAATTATTACTGGCCAAAGGGCACTCACTCTCTCTCTCCTTTACAGTACATACATACATGCACTGGATAAAACATGCACTGTAATGTGAATTGTGTCTTACCATCATG